TTGTCGCTGCCCTCGCCTCTCGGGAGGCCTCCGAGCGAGGCAGGTACCGAGAGCGAGAGGGATGGAGCCCGAAGCGCCCGGCAGGCATTTCCTGGCCTCATTCCACGGCTTGCTCCGGCATGTGATAGCGCATGTGCAGCCCAGCGCGTTCCGGCCGGGGCCCGGGCTGCGTCGGCCCTTGGTGCCGCCGAGGACACGGGAATGCGGGAGAGGTTGTGCCCAGCTTTCCAGCGTCCACGCCGGGCCGTCCCGTCGAGACTGTCTGCAATTTTGCTCTTATTTGCTGGCCCGGACACGAGCGACTTTCTCGGTATGCGGGACACAGGGCAGCGCTCTCCATGGCTGAATCCGCGGTGTCCGGATCAGGCCTCCCGCGCAGCCTGTGCCGCATTCCTTAGGGGCTTTGGGCAGCGACTGTGACCGCGGCGCAGGCAGCTCCCTGGTACCTTCCGCCCCATCGTTGGTGAGGGCTGGGAGAAAAACGATTTTGCCCGCTGTACCTCGCGCCTTGTCCCGCTAATCCCGCTTTTCTGCTGGGCTCTGGGGCGGTTTGGGTGCTCCGGGGAGCAGTGGGGTTGCTAGAAGGATGTGACGAGCTCCGTGCGCTCTGGCTGCTCATGGAAACCTTGCGGTCCCGTCCGGATGTCGCAGCGGGCAGAAAGTGCCCATGCTGCGAGACCTTAGTGCCCGGGATCCAACTTCTTGATTTTACTAATCTCCTGATGAGATTTACCCCGGATCTTTGTGCCTTTCTGTAAGGATTAGGAGGCCAGTGGCTGCAGGGCCTGAAATCCTGGAGTTGTGGGGTTTTTCTGCAGACGCGGGAGCCGGCTCCACCGCTCGGTGTCCGCGCGGGGACACGTGCGTGGGGCAGGTGGCCTTGCGGGACGCCTGACGGATGTGCTGCTTGGTGACTGCTCTCGGTTCGGGCCTCCCGGGCCTGCTCGTGCTCCATGTCACGAGCAGCCTTGCAGGCCTGGCCGTCCCTGGTGCCACCTGGGTGGCCTTGGTGGCCTAAGCTGTGCTTCGGAGGAGGCTAAGTGCATTTGCCTGCATTAAGTGCAGGGGGATAAAGCGGGGATGAGTCCTGCGGAGCAGGATGTGCGGAGGAGCCTGTGCGAGCTCCTCGGCCCTGTTTACGCCGTTTGAGCCCAAAGGCTGCGATCTGAGCAGCCCTGTGGTTTCCTCTCACCCTGGGCGGTGAGCTCTGGTTTTATCACCCTCCCCTGGCTCCTGCAGCGCTGGCTGCGAGCAGAAACCCGGCTCCGCGGTGCGTCCCCGGGGACGCTCGGGGTCCCCAGTTCCCTTCTGAGAGCACTTCAGCGGCTGAGCTGAAACCAGCGGCGTTTCCGTCGCGGCCCGGCGCGAGCTGCCGGCGCGGGGCCTCGCTGCGCTCGGAGCCGTCGACACCCAGGTGTTTGCACTTGTTAATCATCCCGAAACACGCGGGATGGTGCAGGAGGACGTGGCGGGGGGTTCAGCTCTTATCTCCTCAGCGCTTCGGTGAGCAGGCGGAGCAGGAGCTGCTGAGTGTGGCTGGGAATCGCCCGGACACAACAGGAGGGTGTAGACGGGCATCAGGGCTCAGATGCAAAGGGCAGGCACTCGCTTCGCTTGCAAACTCTTTCCTTAGACATGATGCCAACCGGCTGTCATGGGAGGGAGGCTGCAACCTGTCACCTCCTGCAGGTGAACGTGTGACAGAGCATCACCCAAGCTACGTATGGAGAAGCTTTTTGGGGACTCCAAGGGGGAATCCTTGCACGTTTGAGGATCTAAGGTGTTTTTTATTGCCTCTTTAGAGCTCCCGGAGAACTGGACCGATACCCGCGAGACGCTGCTGGAGGGGATGCTCTTCAGGCTCAAGTACATGGGCATGACGCTGGTGGAGCAGCCCAAGGGAGAGGAGCTCTCTGCTGCTGCTGTCAAAAGGATCGTGGCCACGGTGAGTATCCGTGCGGGGCCGCCCGTCCCGCGGGCTCCTCCCCGCGCGGAGCCGCAGCCTCGTCCCGCTCGGACAAGGCCGGCAGCAGGGGCAGGTTTTCAAGCTGTAGGGGTGCAGGAAATGCCTGCACGAGCACGAGGATGAGCACGAGGACTGGCCCTTTCAGAGGTGACAGGGCCCCTTCGTGCGGCTGGCAGGACAGACCCACAGACCGCGGTATCAAGAAAATGTGGGGCTAGCGCATCCGATGGCCAGGCTGCAGAAAGGTGATACGACATCTCTGAGCTCTGCTCCCCTTGATAAGCTGGTTTGGCCCTGGAAGCAGCATCCGAGCTGGTGAAATCAGCCTCCCTTTGGCTGTCTCTTCACAGACAGGACAGTGCCCATGTTTTGTACCAGCACACAACCGAGTCCCAGGCTTGTGCCCTGGCTTGGGTTTCTGGCTTTGTTTTTTCTTCCCAGGATTTAGAGAGTTAAGAGGGGAAGGAACTGGGACATTTGCTTCAGTTCCCAGCCAATATAGACCCGAGCTCTGCCGTCACCCCTGATGCAGGAGGGAGCGATGGGCAGCCATCCTCCAAGCCAGGGCCTCCCTGGAGCCCTTCTCCAGGCTCTCTGAGTAAAATTAATGCTTCTTTAAGCCCTTATAAAACTGAACGAGGCAGAGACCCAGTTGTACAGTTAACCATCATAAAACTCAATGGGGTGGTGAACTGCATTGGATAATGAAGGATCCTTTCCTGGCACGTGCTAAGCTAGCGGGGCGGCGAGCGGCTTGCAGGAAACAGGAGCTGCTGCTGGAGCCCTGCACGTCTGCTCGGAACGACCCAGGACGGAGCCTTGGAGTAAATGCAGCCTCGGAGGGGCAGGGCTGACGCCCGGCCGAGCTGGACGCGGCTCAAGTGCGGTCCAGGAGAGCAGGATGGACGATCTCGGTCTACAGTGGCATTTCCAGCTTTTACTGGATTTGTGCCAAAGGCTGAAAAATTAGGGGCGATTCTGCAGAACTGTCTGCCTGATGTAGGGGCTTCACCCAGCCTGTTTTGCCCTGCTGTCTTGGCAAGATGGAGTTGGTGTGGGGCTGTGACGCTGCCCTGGGAGCTGCAAGCTGCCGTTCCATGAAACCAGCTCCCACGGGACCGTCCTGCTCACGACCCGGCTGCCTTGGAAGGGGGATTTCACCCTGGTCTGAAAGACAAAACTGCCGTGTTTCAGCAAACATTGATGGCCTTGCCCAGCCTCTTCCTTGGGCTGATTGCTATGGTGAAATCCTCTTCGTGGAGACACCAGATGTGAATTAGCTATGTGCTGTATGGGGTGGAGGGTGCACGTCCTTATCTTGCTATTGCCAGTGTAAATCAGTGCTTCAGGGATGGTGAAGTTTTAACAAGTGCCTTATCACACCTGGTCGTAAATTCAGTCTAGTACTAATGAGTGCTATTAATATGTCTATTAGATAGGATATATCTAGAGTAACTGATCTGCTCTGCTGCTTTGGATGCAGCACTGTTAAAAGCCCATAACTTTCCTCCTCACCCTTTTCCTTCCAAAGGCTAAAGCAAGTGGAAAGAAGCTGCAGAAAGTTACTCTGAAAGTCTCTCCCAGAGGGATCGTGTTAAATGATAGCGGAACGAATGAGCTGATAGAAAACATCTCCATATACAGGTACGTTCTGGGCTGTGCTACGTACCCTGCACTTTCCTCATCTGCTTTTCTTCAAGGTGTTGGGCTGATTTCTGCTGGGTTTGGGGCCCTTGCCGGGGCAAGTTAATCTCTGATCTTTACTCAGGCCTGAGCCGACAGCTTTTTGGCTGTCGTGTCTTAAAGGGAAGCAAAGCTGGGGAAGGAGTCTGGGCTGCCCTGCCCTCGCTGGCTGCTCCGAGCGCTGCCGTTCGCTCCTGAAGTCTCCAAAGGGCAGGACTAGCACAACCGCGAGGACTTGTTCAAGGACTTGGACTAGTGTGGGGAGGGGAAGACAAGGCTGGCTTATCCCATATCCACTCCTGTAGCTTTTGCAAGTATTTCTTACAAAAGATATTCTGTTGGAGGCAGATAGAGGCCTGGAGAAGCAGCGCTAAGCTCGAATCTGGCTGTTGCCATGTTGTGTGTCCCCTCTCTCCTTACCCTGAACATGCTTTGCTTCCTCTCCTTCACCCTGCTGCATCATCTGTCTTCACTAAACATGGGATGGGGAGCTCTGGTTCGAGGCACTGTCTCTCTAACAGGGCTACTAACCTGCTCACTTTATTCCTGTTGCTTGAGCAGATGCTTAAAGCCACCAGACTTGAGGTTCCCACCCTCCCTAGGAGAAAACACGGCTGCTAAAGTGCAGGACTAGGTGAGGGAGCTGTGAACAGGGGCACGATCGTGGTGAATTCAGTCCTGCTGAGCTTGTGGGAAGCCTGGTGCGGGCCAAGCCTTGGGCTCCAGGTGTTTAGATGCTGCCTTAAATTGTGCCGGGACATTTTAAGTGTAGGCTGTAAAGCTGACCCTTCCCATCAGTGCTCATACACAGGCATTGAGCTGACTGAAGTGAGCACATCCTGAAGAGGCTGTTAGCACTAGGGCTGGAAATGCAGGTGCTTTTAGTGAGAGGGAGCGCGGAGGGCTCCTCTCCCAGCGCATCCGTCCCTGCCCGGCTCCAGGAACGCGCTCCACAAGTGGCGTTTTGGGAGGTTTGCCCTGAAACCTCCAGCACCGGGTCCTGGGCAGGCGGCAGGACGGGGTGGCCGTGTTTAAAATGCAGCCTCCATCAGAGGACACGTTGCTGCTTCGCTGCAGAAGCAGGTGGCAATTAAACTGGCCCTGTAAATTAGCGGCCACCGCGCGTTGAGTGAGCGCGGGGCTGGCTGGACACGCGTCCCTGGGGGTGACCCTTGCCTGCTGTCGCTGGTATTAAAAGTCCAGCCTTGCTCCTTCGAGAAGAAACGGGGAAAAAGGAGGCAACTTCTCCGTGCCTCTTTAATCCCGAGTACAGCACAGTGCTGCGAGACAAAATATAGGCCGCTGTGCAGAGGCGTCCCCGCGCACAGGAAGGAACTAACGCAGTGTAAATAAATTTTGGATGTGGCTTTTTGAGTCCCAACATCTTCTGGGAACCAGGACGTTCCTTTCCCTTCCCTGGGAAGTCTCCTGTGTAGGAAAAGACGGAGCCGCACGGGCGATGCAGGGCAATTGGAGAACTTTCACCAAAGTGTCCCGCTTTTTCCTTCATCCTCCTGTCTCCGGCCGGTGGCTACGGCCGATGCCGAGGAACCCGCCACCCCGCAGGAGGGAGCGGAGTCTCCAAACAGATTGGCCTGTTGCTCTTCCAAAGCATTTTGAAAGCAATTCCCTGGGGGCTGGAGGACGGGATGCTCCTCCGAGGGAGGCTGCCTGCATCCCACTGTGTCTGCACCTGAGGATCTGGGAGCTGCTCAGCTCCTCCTGGGTACTCCTATATCCAATTCCTTCCCACTTTGAGAAAGCACAAGGGAGCTTCAGGATGAAATTGTAGCCTCGGAACAGGTCCTTCTGTCTCCTTGCAAGCTGTTCCCCCAAGGGAAATCTTCCGTCGTCTCTCCTGAAGGCAGAGCGTTTTGTAGACATAGTCCCAGCCTGACATGATGCAGAGTCTTTCCTCACTTTCTCTAACCTCTCCTTTCCCACAAGACAGATTTTCTCCTCTCTTGCCTCTGTGCGTGATGCACGTGGTTCGTGTTTGCTAAGGTCCCGACCAGGGGGTGCTCCGGGCCCCTCTCGCTCACGGCAGCGGCGCTGGCTCCTCTGCTTTTGGTTCTGGGAAGCGTGTGTCAAAGCTTGGTAACGCTCCTGCGCTCCCTCCTCCTTCCCTGCTCATCCCGGGGGCTCCAAGCCTTGACGGCGGCGTCTGCTGGCAGCTCCGAGGGCTTGGTTGATGTCCCTTGTGTGCAGAGCCCTGGACAAGACGTTTCGTTCTGTCTTTCAGGATATCCTACTGCACGGCAGACAAGATCCACGATAAAGTGTTTGCCTACATTGCCCAGAACCAGCTCAATGAGAACCTGGAGTGCCATGCCTTCCTCTGTACCAAACGGAAAATGGTCAGTCCAGAGGAAGAGGTTGGGATGCGGCTCTAGGAGGAGGAAGCAGAGAGGGGCTGGGCTGGGGCTGAGGAGCCCTGGGGCTGCCCCGGCTCCGTGGCTCCGGGCTCCCCTCCGTTCTCACCCTGGCTTTGGTGCATTTTCCTCTGGGGAAGCTCCCGGGGCAGTTTTCACGGCATCTTTGCTCATGTAGCCATGTCCTCTTGGCCGGGACCGGTGTGTGGTGTGACACGTGTGACGCAGGGCCCGCGACCTCGCTGTGTGCCGAGGACCAGGGCACAGAGACGTGTGTGTAACGTAGTCCTGGCTCTTGCTTCAGAGCCGTTTCTGGGTTTTTTTGTGCTGATTCAGTGCATCTCGTGGAGAGGAGGCTCCAGGCTGGTCACGGCAGAGACCCAGCCCTGAAGAGCTGCTGCAGGAGACAAGGGGGTCACTGGGCACGAGCTGCAAGGAGAGCCCGTGCGTGTCTCCCTGGGGGTCACTGAGGTCCCTCCCTGTAAGAACAAGTGGGAGGAAGAGATTTAGGGGAGGAGAAGGGCAGGTCAGACCTCTTCCACCACAGAAATCCCTGCCCAAAGGGACCCAATTTGCCTGCTGGGTGGCCTAGGCAAAGAACTGGATCTCCAGGGTCCGTTTTCTTCCTCCCTAAGCAGGGAAAATGCCCGTCCAAGAGGCTGTAAGGGCCATTCCCAGGTGGTGGCTCTGGTCCAGGCCCACGTGGCCATTCCCACTCCCTGAGCTGCCCTGCAGCTCCGTTAATATTCTCTCCTTCTCCCAGCTCTCAGTTTTTTTCTGGGGAGAGAATAATGGAAGCTACAAGTTGTCTCTCCTTTTTGTAGCGCGCTGCCATCCTTGCACGGCGAAGATAAGCCTCCCTCTGCAAATTAAAATTTAAATCTCTCCAGTGCTAAAAGAATTATCTCAGTGGCATATCAGCTCAGTGCGACTCCCTCCAAATAAAGTTCTGCAAGGCCTTTTGTGGCAAAAACTAGATTTTTTTTTGCTTTGTCTGTCTCTGAAGTGCATGAATGTCATGCTGATAGAAGGTAAAGTGATGCCCTGCATCCAGACCACGGACTGTCCCCACACACAGGCAAGGCCCCTGTGTGTATGTATAGCTTCCACTCACTGCCATATAATTAGTCCATATTTTTAGTTCATGGGTAATTCTCAACGGTAGCTGGGTCTATTAAACTTGATTCAGATGTGACAGCTTAAATTGTAAACAGCTGTGAGGAGTTTCATACTTAATTACCATATTTAAGTTTTTGCCATAAAGCGTTTGCACTTCCATCAAAGATGTAAATAGCTCCGACATTCAAATGAGCTCTCCTGCTTTGTGAGGCTTAATTGGCGCCGATAGGTTCTCCGAGTCCTCTCTTCCCGCTCTGGAAGCGTGTTGGGCTCCTAGGAGAAGCGTTTTCCCGGTTAGCGCTTCCGCACGGTCCCCCCCATCCTCCGAGCTCCGCGGGGAGATGAGCAGGGTTGCGGGCTCCGGGATCTGGATTTGTTTGGCTTGCAAGATTATAAGACAAACTGAAGCCCCAAGGCTCCTCCGGGGCGTCAGCCTTGCAAAGTGTTTCTCGTTATCTCCTTGCACTTGAAACTGCTCCTCAGCTCGGTCCTCTTGTAGTGAGTCTGGCTTCTGTATCACTGTTTGTATTTCTTGGGCAACTCTGGCTGTTTGAGGTTGGGTTTTTTTTATGTTACTCAAGCTCTTGGCTTGGGAAGAGCTGGTGGGGCTGAGGTGGAAGCGTCCTTGCTCCGGGCTGCTCGTGTCTCCAGCTTGAGGCCGTTGCAAAGCAAAAACAAGGTGCAGGTCCCATCAATATTCACTTATGCTTTTCCAGCCGCGTGGTGGGGCAGAGCAGAGGACTGGTTGGATCCAGGTTAACATGGATCAGCAAAGCAAAACCTCCGAGTGATTCAAACCTACACAAGGGCCCATCTATTAACGTGCCTCCTACCCGCTCTCGTTGCAGGCCCAAGCAGTCACCCTGACGGTAGCTCAGGCGTTCAAAATAGCATTCGAGTTCTGGCAAGCATCCAAGGAAGGTGAGTTTTCTTCTTTCTGCTCTTCTCATGGAAGCCGAAGGGATGAATTGAGGTTTATCCAGCTTGCAAGTGTCTTTTTCCTCCCTCTGCACTGCGTCACCCTTCAAGTTTCCAGGCAGCTGTTAAGGGGCCCAACCTCTGGCATAATTTAAGGCATCTTCCAAATTTCCGTACACAGCCTCATAAATCCAGCTGGATTTTGGCTGCACTGTGTTCTCACAAGTGGCTTTTGGAGGCCCTAGTGCTGATTTGTGGTGTTTCAGACCTCTGCCCCGTCGATATTTTTGCATTTGTCATGCACAAATTTGTATTACACACGCAGAGCTTTGGGTGCATTGGGGCAGAACAGACCCCAGGGCCTGTCCTAACCATCCTTGCCACATCTGTGCTCCTTGTGGGACTTACCCCAACCAAAAGGGTTCAGAAAAGGAGGCTTGGTGCCATTCTAGACCACTCTAGGTCCAGATATAAACCAAGGCATCCTCCAAACGTCCCTGCAGGAAACCGGGGAGGTCTTTGCTATCGAAAGGTGCAAATTGGCCTTGCCAGGTTCATTCCTCCTGCACATGGAGGAGGAACGACCAGAGGATGAGGCATGTCACGGTGAGACTGTCTCATGCTTTCAAGAGCCTGGAGGAAGGTGCTTGGCAAGCAGTGATGGATTTCCTCCTCCTGCAGAGAAAGAGAAGCGGGAAAGGTCCATGCTGGAAGGAGAAGGTGCAAGCGGCCCAAACTCCGAAGCTCCTGCCTGCCCCGCAGCACGTAAGTCACCAACGGGAGAGCTTTGCTTTTGGCTGTGGTGGAGCCCGAGTTGATGAGGAACAGCCTGATGCCTGCAGGGATTTTCCCTGAATTGGAGAGTCTCCCAGGAAGGCTCTGAAGATCAGCGAAGAACAAACAGTTCTGTAACCCAGAGAGGGTTTTGTGCCCAGAGAGGTTGTGGAGTCTCCTTCTCTGGAGATCTTCCAAACACACCTGGATGCCACCCTGTGCCACATCCAGGTGCCACTCTGCCTATGGCTCCTCTAAGGAAGGAGAGGCAGGTGAAAACAAAACAAATAGATGGTGAGAACCATCTAATTCAGTGCCTGGCCATGATCTGCTGCTGCCAGAAAGAAGTGGGACAAAAGGCTAATCTTTCTTCCATGCTGGCCACAGAGATAAGAGGATTTGGCACTGAGAAAAAGAGCATTAAACCAGGCTTCTTTCCAGACTGGCATGTCTCATTTCTTCACCTGAAGGCCCAGAACTGAAGGAATCTGTTGTAAGTGGTGGCAGATTGCGATAAAAACCCTGCTGAGGCCCAGGGCTGCCACGGAGGTAGGAAATGTGCTCTAACGTCTGCCTGGCCACACACTGATGCTTCCCACCCTGTGGTTACTGTTTTCCACCCAGTGCTGGGCTGTAAAGCACCTGGGAATGCTCCGTGTCCATTTGCGCAGGGTGATCCTGGCTCATCCTGAGCATCAGCAGGTAACCAGGAGCCTCCCTGTATGGCAGAGGGAGGCATGAACTAGCTCATCCTCCCCTTCATCCCAGGTGAGGGGACTTTGGGTGCCTAATTAGAGCATCTCCAGTTATTTGGGCTGAAACTGCAGCCCCAGATGGGGCGAGTGTGGCTCCTTCATGCTGAAATTCGGGGGCATGCTGAAAGAATTTGGTGCTATTCCTGGCTTTCCCCTCGAGGGGAAGCAATTGTTGCAAAAAGGATTGTTTTTGTGTTGTCTCTGTTTTTCCCCTTCCTGCCTAATTCTCTCTCTGCTGTGTTCACAGCAGTGGCCACAGGGAACTTGCTGGATTTAGAAGATTCTGCCAAATTGCCCCTGACCGTCAGCGCAAACTCCATGCATTTAGACAACAGCACGTTTGGGCCCAGTTCCTCTGTAAACAACAACGTGGTCTGGGTAGGTGCCCCGGGGAGCGATGCTCTCCGTCTGCCTCCGCCTTTTTGCCTCTGCTCCGGTCTCTTCTCCGGGCTTTTCTGCTGGACAAAACCCTCTGGATGCTCTCGGCCTGCCGAGCTGGTGTGCAGGGTTCAGAGATGCCTGAGGAAACTGGGTCTCGGTGTCCTGCTAGAAATGATCGATTAGTGTTCAAGCTCCTAGCGCCCTTTTTAGGCCCAGTAAGTAAACGAAGGAGATTGCAAGCCAGTCTGAGAAATGCCACTGTCAGGTAATTGAATGTTACTTATTCTCTAACAGTGTTTCTCAGTGGTTTGTCACTTAATTGAGAGACCACCTAACTGCTCCATTCAGGGGAAAAATTCATTATGCTGATGGCTTTTGTTTACCGCTCGCTAAAACCAGGTTAAATTTATGCTTGTCGTTGCTCTTGTTTTCCCCTTGCTCTTGTTTGTGGCTGTGTTGTGCTCGTGTGAGCACGAGTGGCTTCTCCAGAATGTCCCAAACCATCCTGCTTAGTTGTGTCATGGGCCATAAATAGAAAAACACTGACCCAGATCATGTGTCGGGGTGCACATCCATACCAAAATCTTCTCTATATAAAAATGCTCCATCACTGACCAGACCAGGTCGATCTTTGAACCACACCTGGCCTGGGGCACTGTCCCTGCCACATTCCCTCTCTGGAAACACCCTGTCTGCTAAATTTTGGAGAGCTGAATGATAAAGGCCTTTGCCTGGAGCCTGTTTCTTGAGTCTGCCAGGTCTGAGCCTGAGGCTTTTCGGGTTAAACCTGAAAATCAACTTTATGGCATATGAAATCCTAGAGACTTATCAGCAATCTCTGATAGCTCCCCTCTTGCAGAGTTTTTGTACTTTACATATTAAACCAAGTCTCCGAATGTATCCCAAGATTTCAGGAGCCCTGCTGAAGTGTCAGATCCCTCTGATAGCCCATCCTCCTGCATGGAAAGCCTTTCTCCCTAGTAACTCAAATACTTTCGAAGGGAAAATATCAAAGGACAGACAAGAGAAGAAGGATCCAGGCATTGCTTTCAAGCAACCCAGGTCTATCCTTTCCTGGTGCAGCTCACGCTGTTGCCTCCCAGGTTCCTGAGCCCACCAGATCCCCAGGAGATGCCCAGAGCATCTTGCTGAGCCATGTCTGCATCCATCATCTTAGCAAAATCCCGTGGTGTCTCCCGCTCGCGTGGTGGATGCCGGAAAACCGAGGGCAGTGTCTTGCCTTGCTCAGCCCTAGGTAGCTGCCTGCTGCTCGCTCTCCGCTCTGCCCAAAATGTGTCTCTGCACGAAGGGTGAGCAGATGCTTTCAGTCGGAGCGGCACCTTCTGCTTCGCACCGAGCAGAGAGCAGCTCGGGGCTGGCAGAGACCTGAGCTCTGGAGCAAGATCTGCGCAAGCTTGGAACGAGGTGGCAGTTTCCAAGCTGGGAGCCTGGGCGTGTTGGCTCCTTCCGAGGGATTAGGCAAAACGTAGAGCTTTCCCGAGGTCTCCAGGGAGCCTTTGTCCTTGTGCTGCTTCCAAACCCAAGGTTAAATCTCCTCAGCTTAAAGGTGTAAAGACACAGCATGTAGCAAGAGCTCCCCGTAAAAACGGGCTGTGGGTGCCAGGCTGCGGCGTTCCTGCTGTTCCCTGCCTTCCTGGCGTTCCCGTTAACGCGGATCAGTGGGATAAGCGGTTCCTCTCGCGGCAGGGTGGGTGCTCGGGGTAGGTTCCTGCAGCGTCTCTGTGCACATCCCCGAGGGCAGCGCGGCTCCCTGGCTGTATCCAGCCCATGCAGGTGGTGGGGCAGAGCTGGCCTGGTTTGGGGGCAATGGGGGAGGACCCGGTGCCACCGTGGTCACCTCTCCTGGCCCATGAGCTGAGTGTGACATCCCCAACCCAAGCACTGGGGTCTGCTCTAAGGAGCCCCCTGCACATCTCTGGTCCCGCAGCTTGTGCAGAGGGAGAGATAAAACCTGCCTGAGGAGGGAGGTTACTGATCCGAGTGCTGCTCCAGGCACTTGGAAGCCAGCACATAAACATATTTTTGTCTGTCGTGCTCAGTGCGGAACCAGATCTCTAACTACACTTTTGTACATTCACTTAGCAACTACTTCTCTCTCTTTTTATCTCTTTTACAAAGGAAATGGATGATGGTCTCGATGAAGCATTTTCAAGGTAATTCTAACAACTCTCTTTACAAGTTCATGCCGTCGGGGACCAGCTCGGGAGACTTGACTAGTGACTGGTTTTTAATAATGCTTCTAATCTAATCAGCCACTGTGATCTGACCTAGGCAGCTGCCCCATCGGTGCCTCAGCTGCTAATTGAAAGATAGGCTTTGAGGCTGGCTGATAAGTCAAATATTTTGACAACCTTTTAAGGATAGAGAGAGGTTGTATGTGATAGGGAATTGAATTCCCCAAGCAGCCTGCATGTCTGCTCCTGCTTGAGCGCGTGCTGGGAGGCTGCCTGTGTCCAGCCCCTGGGCCAGCAGCGGGGACTGGGCCCAGGTTCTGTGCTGGGATCTTTTCCCTTCCTCGCCTGAGGTTTGGACTGACTGAGCTGGGGAGGTATCGAGGGCTTAACCCAGCACTGCCACTTGTGTGGGCAGCTGACCCCAGGCAGAGTTTAAAGCAGAGCAAAAAACTGCATGCTCAGCCCTAAGGAAATGAGCCCTCGTGTCTTGTTTGGAGCATGATTTACAGCTTCCACTTCCACGGCAGGCCTGTCCCAAGTCACGTTTCATAAAGGGACTGCTTGAATTTACATCTTAATGTCATCTATTTTCCTTTCCCAGCTTAATTAAGCTGACATTGTTGGTTGTGGTCTTTTGTTTTGCATTGCTGGATGCTGAACTGTTCCCCCCTGGCCTTCTGGTGACTCAGTCTTTGGGTTGCACATCTGCCAAGGAGGATGCATTTAAGAGTGTTCCTGATGCAATATCATTGCTGGTCGTTTTTCTTATTTATTAAAAAAGTGTATGTGTGGGTAGTTTAATGTTATGATAAACTAGCAGAAAAGCTGTCACAGACTCAAGAGCTGCAAAGGCTCTGATCCAGCTTCTCCCTTTATCAAATGATGCCTTTTCAGTGGAAAACTTTGAAGTGGGGAATGCTGCTGGGATCCTGCGTTGCCGGCACATTGAGCTCCCAGGCTATAACCATGAGGGCCTATTCTCACTTTATTTTTTTTGTCTCCCCTCTTAGACTTGCTCAGTCGAGGACAAACCCTCATGTTCTTGACACAGGACTGACGTCTCAAGACATCCAGAGTGCAGAAATGCTCTCACCTGTGGACTGGAACAAAATAGATTCAAAGACAGGCGAGAAGGATGATCTGTTCATGTTTTGAGGTCAGATGCATCTCACAGTTCGCAATAGAGTAACCACTAACAGTTTATGGACTGAATTCATGCTGTTCTGGGTGCTGTATGCAAGGAGCTCTTCTGAGGGGGGTCTTCACCAAGTCAGATGATACTACAGCACTGTTTAGACCAAAGCTTTAGAAATCTAATACAGATTTTTTTTTTTACCTTGCTCTTACCTAAACCATGAGATGCTCTTGAACATATTTATTCGTAGCCATTACAGTTTACATATATTATTGAAAGGCGTGGAGAGCATCTACAGTATTAGATGGCAATATAGCAGTGGAAGAACCTTCAGCAGTGCCTATTCCTCTCTGACAAAGACTATGCAACACCAAAGTCGCTGTGTATATGTATTTCTAGACAAAGGTCTGCAGCTGCAAAGTAATTGCAAGCACAACCGTTAATAATTCACTGTTTCTTGAGCAGCAAATCACCTGCATAGGCCAAGAGGAGATTTGCAGCCGCTGCTAACAGTGTTAGAATCAAAGCGGGAGCAGAGATCTTGCTTTTGTTGTGAATGTCTGTGATGCTTTCACAGCTGTCAGTCACCCATGTGGCCTGGCCTCTTCTTTGCCAACTTCATATGGCAACTGATGCTTTTTACCCAAAGACTCTATGAAGTTTTGCACTTTAAAAACTTGAACTGAAAGCAATGGTCCGAAATGTCAAGGTAAGCAGTGTCTGTAATTTCTCTTCAGAAGCTATTTACCCCAAAAAACTGGTAATACTGCAGGTCTGTTTAAAACTGACTCTCACATGCGCTGTTTCTGCTACGGCTCGAAATGCAAAAGCTTAGTAGCAAAAACATCAGGGAGTAACAATTTGATTTCCTAAAGCACGTTGAAAGTTGCAGGTCGGGTGAATCCCCCAGCACAATAGATTTGTATCCTCAGCTCTGCTAAGTGGATTTGGCTGGGCATGCCTTTTTACTGTCTCAAAACCTTTTGGTAGTTGCCCACTCAGTGGACTCAAATGGTATCGGATCAGGCGAGCCCAATACCTGTATGTTCAATTAGCAAAACGTCCCTTTTTGGTGATGTTCTTGCAGTCTTTTCCCGACAGCCCCATGGCCTGCGAGCTGTAGAAAACTGTCTTCCTCTCCTCCTGGAATTGAAAATAAGTAATGGAGATATAAAGCTCGTGCTAATTAAAAGATTAAGTTTAATGATCCTAAATAGTCACACTGACAGTATGCAGTGTTTGTGGCCTTATGTGAAGTATACTAATCTGTTTTATAGATTTGTAACTTGGTTTTGAAACACTAATTCGTTCCCCAGATAGCTCTTTATAACTCTTTAAAACTGTGCAAAAAAAAAAGAAACCTCTTTAACAGCTGTAAGAATTTATTAGGAAACAGCTGAGTGACTCTAACTTAGATTTGTTTTTTTTCCTAAGTGTTATTGTGATAAGGTATTGAGGACTTGTGAAGTTGACTCATCATGTCTCCTAATAAAATGCAAATATAATGCATTTAAATACAATGCAAAATTGTATTTAAAACAACAATCTTTAAACTACGGTGCCCAGGACTTAGAAATTGTATTTAAAACAATTTTACATCTTTAAACTACGGTGCCCAGGACTTACTTGATCTCATACACGGCATCAGTCTCTTGCAATTGAAGGAATTGCTCCAAGTTTGTCCATGCTACTTAGGCACACCCTAGAGACACAAACTTATTGCATAAGCAACACCTACACGAGACAGAAGGGGTTGTAATGAGCACCTTGCTCTGACCCTGTGGGGAGTGGTGATCTTTCTAAGAAAGAACCTGTGTTGCAGGACTGGACTGTGAGGATTTACTTCTCTGTACATTGATCTTTCTCCTTTTCTAGAGAAGCTAGGGGTATATACTGAAATGCACAATACTATATATGTATGTACATAGTTGTTTTTTGTAAGAAAACCTTATGCTGTAAAGAATATCTGTATTGAGGAAAATAAAATTCTACCTTTTTTGGAATGTCTTTGTTGGGGCACTTAATTTTTACCATGATATTTTCAATATGTAGAAGCCTTTCAATTGTATTCCTAACCCGTGGTGTTCTCTTGTCTCCCTCGATGTGCAGCCAGTAAGCGACTGGGAACAACAGCCGGAGAGGGGGAGGTACGTGACTGTCGGAAGCCTCTTTCCAGGGCTATCCATGTGGAAAAATGATGGCTGGAATTAGACAACACTCGGTGGTGCTGCCTCCAGTAACCACTTAGCAGGGCCAGATGTAGCGGGATGCGCTGGAGGGATGTGCAGCAGCCGCCTGTTCACGTGAGCTGCACGGTGCCATGTTAATGGGGCCAGGGGTGACAGTTTGCAGCCTCTTCCAGTAAATCTGTCCCTGCTTGAGCCTGTGTTCAGCTGAATCAGCCTTTAGGTAAGGATGCAAACGAAAGATGAAAGAAGGAAGTCGGTGGTTAGGTCTCGTCTGCAGGTAACATGGTGCTGGTAACATGAGAAAAACAAAATCTCTTAATTGATAGAGTTTCTGAGTCGCTGTGCAAAGCAGTTCTCCCTCGGGGGGAATTTAATTTGTACAGTTGCTTTTTAAATGAAAACAGCACAGAGAACCTTGCACCTCTCTGTGTGTTCTGCCTCACCCTCCGATTCCTGTCTTTGCTCGCCGCAAGCTCTGGAGAGATTGGGCTCCTGCAGCTACTGTCTAATCACTCTGCTGCCGCTTGTCTGGGAAGCAAAGGTAGGAATTCATCTGGGGATGCTGACAAATACATTTAACACGAGGACTGCCGTGCTCCCTTCGGGCGTATGGGAGCCGGGCTGCAGGCAGAGGCAGAGCCACAGGGCTTTGTGGAGATGCTTCTCCTTCAGCAGTGCCACACTAACAGAAAAAAAACTTTGTAAAATTCATTTTTATGTTTAAATTGCTTTTTCCTGTCTACAGTGATGTCTCAGATTGAGTAGCAAGTACCGACAGCCTGCGCTTCCATCTTAGCTGATGGGGGTGCCGAGGAACAAATTGATCTCTCAGGTTTGACATGACCTTTTTTTAAGTGCCAGATTAGAAACTTTGGGCATGTGTTTCCAATCCCTGCGTGCTCCTGGGCAAGGCGCTTGCTGTGGGGAGGCCTGGTTTGGAGGGGATGTTGCAGGGATACCTTGGCCCTGCTGCCTTCTTCTGTAGGCCGATGCCCAGCTGTGCCGTGGACAAGCAGGTCCCTTGGGCTGGCCACTTTCCTGCTCTCTCCATGAGCCAGGTAACAGGCTGAACCTCCACCTCTAGCTGGGGCCAGAGGATTCATAGCTGGGGCTCAGCTTCTGGCTCTGAACATTAAGGATTTAAACATCGAAACCCTTCCGTTTCCTAGAAGACGGTGGCTGTAGAAAGTGTGATAACCTTATGATATTCTCCGCCTTCCAGCCGGGCACAGTGACCTCGGCACAGTCCTTCTGGTCCAGGTCCAAGCCAATATCAGCCCCGTACAGACCCTCGGTCCAGCATACGCTGAGCGTTGGGGAGCAGGAGCCTTCCCTGGCTCATTTGCAAGCTGCCAGCATCTCCCCAAAGCGCTGCCGAGATCTGCTTGGTAAATAGGAAGAGCTGTGCACTGTCTCACGCTGGCCGGGGCAGCCCGTGCTCATCCTGCCCCGTGCTTCGCTGGCAGATGTGCAGTGATTTGGTGCCCTTTTTGCTCTCCCTCAGCAGCCCCAGCAGCAGAAGCGATGGTCTGGGCTCAGGTGAGCGCCGTAGCTGGGCTGTGAAGTGCTGCTCTGCCAGCCTGTGCCGGCGTGGGTGTAGGTAGGACTTACTAACCCCATCCGTGCTAGGAAGGGCGGCCAGCAGGAGCCAGGGAGCCCATCTTCAATTTTCCCCCTCAAAGCAAGTGCTTAGGTAAAGAAAGCTGCAGCTAGTGCAAGCCCCGGGGCTGGCAGCTCGTTTCTTTAGCTGCTGGCACTGTAACTTGTCTAACTCGCTTAATAACCCCCCCTTGGCCCCCAAACTGCAATGCCAAACTCACCCTCTTGCTGCCAAGTTACAGGGATGTTTTACACCTAGATCTTAATTTTATTGAGCTTTCCTGCATCCTGTCTATTAAATGGATGCTCTTGAGTAATAGCGGTGCTATGTGAGCAAGGCCAGAGCCAGCTCTGAAATTAAAAAGTGGCTGACTCGGGGCTCTGCTTCCTCTTTGCAGCCTCCCTCACGTGCGTGGGAGAGTCACGGCGTTCAACAGCGTCTGCCGAGCTGCAGCGGTAGCTCGTCAAGCGACGACGGAAAACAGCAGCGCCGCCTCCGCACGGAACCGGCTCGAGGATGCTCCCGCAGAGGATGGGGCTGGTCTCTTTTCAGTGGTGGCCACCGACAGAACTAGAGGTAATGGCCACAAACTGAAGCACCAAAAGTTCCACAAGAACTTAAGGAAAAGTTCCTTCACAGTGAGGGTGCCAGAGCACTGGAACAGGCTGCCCAGAGAGGTTGTGGAGTCTCCTTCTCTGGAGATCTTCAAACCCACTTGGACGCAGTCCTGTGCCACGTGCTCTAGGTGACCCTGCGTGTGCAGGGGGTTGGACTGGATGACCTCGAGAGGTCCCTTCCAACCTTAAGGATTCTATGATTCTATGGATGAGGACAGAGCAAGCAGGTGAAGGATGCGAGCAGGAGGGCCTGCCCTTCAGCCTTGCTTTGGGGAAGGGAGCTTGGCTCGGATCAGGCTTGCCAAGAGCATTGCCTTGGGAAGCTGCTTCCAAAGCAGCTGCCTCGTGTTCCCAATCGGCGCCCTGGGGAGCTGCCCTCTGCCTGCAGGTGGATTTCCTGGCCAGCTGGGTCGGGATAAGGAGTCACTGTGTCCCTGACCCGGCTCCTCCAAGGGCTGCAGGGGCATTTTGGTGACACGTCCCAGCTGGGGAGGAACTGCCCTTCCCTCGCGCTCAAGGGGCTCCCGTATCCCCCCTGCGCCGGGGCAGCCTGTGGGGAGCAGCTCGTTGCCAGGCACAGCGCAGGCCTGAGGCCACGTGGGGTTTTGAAATGCAGGTGCTCGGGGTGCTCTAGAA